GCAGAGCTCCCCAACAAGGCAAATCCCAGACACAGGTGTAAATAACACGTTTATTACATGTCTAGGGGTGGGGTCAACCCATTTTATAGGCCCACCAACCTCCAATGAAGCAATAGGCATGGCCCAAGCACATGCTTTCATTCCATGGGCAGGGGGTGGAGACAATTGACTTTATAGGATGCGATGATGCCAGAAAGATCAAGAAAGTGAATTAGACAAGCTGTGATAAGCGGTGTGTTTCGCCATACTCAGCCTGCCTGATAGTACTGGCAAACAGAGCGAACCAATATATCAATGCTCAAGTCCTCTGGAGGGGCATCCTCCTCAGCCTCATCACCCTGCTTGTCATCCTTCTGGCCAGCCTGCTCACCAGTCTCACCAGCACCCACAGGGCAAGGCTCTGGCGGCTCTTGCGCCTTTTCCTCCATGGATTTCTCGAAGTATCGCAGCTTGTCTTCGTGCGAAAAACCGGCCTTCGACAAGAAAATCTTGCAAACTGAGCAGTGGATACTCTGGTCACATTCTTCTGGAGGTAAGGAGGCCAACTTCCGTACGAAGTCAGAGTATTTCCCGTCACAGCAACACCCTGCCTTCTTGGAGCCAGTTGCTGCCCAATGAGCTGACATCCAGGCACCATAGTCAACACGAAGCCGGGACAGATATTGCCGAAGATCCTGCATCTGCATCTCTACCTTAGTCTGCTTCTTGCGGCGGCCGCAGCGGTTTCGAACCTTCACTTTCTGCTTGCCAAGCTCTGGCGCTTCAGATTCAGGAACTTCAAGGTCAGCATCGTCAGCATGGGGAGGCTTTTCCAATCTGATCTCCTTCTGCCGTCTCAGCCATCCCGCAGCTATGCTGCAATTTGCAACACCTTTGGTATGCGTTTTCTTCTCAAAGTTCTGGCCCTTCACAGGTGTATTTTCTGGAATTTCTGGAGCGGCCGAAGTCTTTTGGGGTGTAGAGGGCTGTGCACCATTGGAAGGTTCCCAGTTCTCCTCAAAAATGCTGAAGAGATCCTGCCACACAGCCCACGACCTCACTTCCATCCATGCCTCATATAGGTCGCTCCTCATCCCCTCCACTTCTGCCATGTCCTTGGGGTTCTTATCGTTCACATGTTCCCCGTCATAATCCTGTTGCAGACAAATTTTGATTGCCCAGAGCAAACAGTTTCCATCGCATGGGACTGGAACCGGTAGCAATCCACTGTCTAGGCACCTGTGAAGGAAAGCATGCCAGGCAACAGCCTTGAGGTAAGCGTCTTCGGCCTCAACAACCTTGGCCTCAACAGTCTTGGCGTCAGATTTGCCCAACTCGATGTATTTTGCTTGAAGCTCAGCAGATTGAAGGTCCGCGTCAGAGGTTGCAACAGAAGCCAAGGCATCAAAGAGATCGTGCGTCAACCCTCCATCATCCCGGGCAATTGCAGGAACCCAATGGTTCAATCCTTGGTCTGGACGGTATTCTGCATTCGTACTCACTAGGATCCAAGTTGGAGTCCCTGACATGTCAACAGGAAAGCTGCGCCCACTCAAATCGGTCATGTAGTCCTTGAGGCTAGGCAGGCTCCCCACTTTCGGCAAGGGTTTGTGCACGGTGTCCACCACAACTTTGATTGCCTGGAGGTACCAATATCTTCAGTCAAGTCAACTTGTAGCTAAAGTATGCTAAAGTTGATCAGTGAAATTGAAAAAAACAAAGAAAAACAAAGATATACAGTGGGCTTGCTAAGCAAATCCGAGTATCCACCCCACACTGCGTGCCCAGCAAGCAAAGATCCAGCGCACTCAGGTATTCTCCGAGCTTGGACACTTTCTTTGCATGGTCTGCCTGAACCAAAATCAGACCAAAAAAACATTCTAAAAAACATGACAGAGATAGAGCCCCAAAAACGGTTCAACAAACACATCGAAAAAAAAAAGCATAAAAAAGTCAAAATTCAGCGAAGAAAAAGGAAAACAACTGAAAGCTACAGGTGAAGCTTCCATGGCGATCTCAAGTCTCTTTGCACGCTGTTTGTCACGCTGCCGTGCAGAGCTTTCCGCCTTCTCAACCTTGATTGGTATGGAGGTCTCTTTCTTAAGCTGCGGCTCCTGCTTAGGAGCTCCAGGAACTGTAGGTAAAGCGGACTTAGCATCAGGAACCGGGGTAGGTTTCTCATCTACAGGCTGCTGATCAGGCTTGGACTCCTCCATCTGGTCGCTTGCTGCAGGGGTGCCTCCTGGCCGCTCAACCTTGACAGGTCTCTGAGGCTCATTGTTAGCAAGAAGCTGCGGCTGAAGCTTGGGCTTCGTGTCAGGAACATCTGCAGGAACACCTGCAGGCAAAGCGGGCTTTTTGTCAGGCTGCTCAACAGGAACAAGGACCTCCACCGGGGGCTTCTTCTCATTCACAGGCTGCTGATCAGGCTTGGGCTTTGTCTTGGGCTCCTCGATCTGGTCGCTTGACGCTGCAGGAGCCTCTGCGGGCAAAGTTGCATTCTTGCCTGAATCCTCAACGCGGACATTGACCGGGGCCATGTTCTCAATCTTGGGTTTCTTCTCAGGCGGCTGAGACTGGACATCT